ACATTAAATCACTAATCTATCCTCAAAATCAACCAAAAAGAGGCTATTAAAACCCGATAAAACTCAGGATGTTACAATGAGCTTATGTGTGGTACCTCTTGAATCACAGATAAAGGGGAATCCTTTTTACTGTAATGTAAAAACCTATTTCTTTTCCACCAAATTGTATTCAATAAGCAAATGACACCACCAACTAAATGGGAATAACATTCTTTTTGTAAAGCAAGGAAGGTTGAAGTGATCCGATTCTTAAAATCTTTCAAAGCTATTAAGCTCAATTCGAATTGCAAAGTAGCCATACCAAAAAGCTTTAGTATAAGGACAAGAGATATATAAGTGTTCCAATGACTCTTTTTCATCACAACCAAATTGGCACAAAGTGAAACTTTTGAGATGACGGATCATCAAGACATCAGAGGTTGGTAATGCTTGATTTAAAAATTTTCAAATGAAAAGAAATTGCTTATATGGCAAATGTATCTTCCACAAAAGGCGCAAAAAATCAGAAGGGACTGAGCTTATAAGATTAGGTGTATTCACCCAAGGAATTACCATTCCAAATTAATTTATCAGATAGATTCAAATAGAAGATAGGTAAATTCATAATTTGCTTGGCAATATCCTGACTATCAATGTGATTGATCAATTGAGAATTCGGAGTCACTAAGTTCCAACGAGAAGAGACATGCAATAAATCTACAACCATTTTATCATCCATATAGTTTCAATGGTCTTACTACATGGGCCATCATAAATGGTGGTTTAAGGAGACAAGCAAACCATTTCCTATCCTCCATTTTAATCTTCTAACTATCAAGTCAGCATGGTCAACAATACTTTTTCAGATCCAAAAAAATTGTAAGGAAGTTTGATCATGGATGGAGAATGAATATCAATGCATTTCAATTTCAAAGAGGAAGCTAAAAATTGATGAGTCTCCAAATTCATTTTGCAAGTAGTGCTTGATTTACTAACTTGGTTGGTCTCGATGTCAAGCCACCCTGTAACACTGCATTCAACAACCTATAGACCTATCATTCAATCTATCAAACCTCACAACGGCCTAGGGACTTTATTTCAAAGAGATGCACTAGCTCAACTCATCCCATCAATAAATTCATAATAATCTAGAATACCAATTTGAGTTTCTCTTTAAAAAAAATATTTTATATTAGAAAGACAAAGCAACAAAATCTTAGAGTCATGGCAATTAAATATAATAACTTGTGCTTGGGGTTACAATAAACCCTTTAAGGCTTACCCCCTTGTGTTGTACCTTCCCTTGACTCCTATTTGATCTCTCACATGTAAACTGTTAATATGAAAGAATGATATCTAACATTTTAGTAACTATTGGAATCCTAACATACACAAACAAACCACAAAACACAAAATCAAATCAAGTATAATCATGCACAATCTTTATGTAATTGTCTCTTACCAAGATCACATTTATTTCATACTCATTCTTAGTTCAACAATATAGTTCATATTTTGCATGCAAATATGCAATATGCCCCCCTTATACCACCATCCAACTTTATACTACTGACTGGAGCTATCGGCTAACCCATACAATCCAGCAAGAACCAATTCATATAACTGGATTGCTCCTAACTCACCAATACTTGAGATGTACTCGACCAAAGACACAAAACTTAGGTCCAAACTATGGCTTCCCTTCTTAAAAGAAGGACATTAGGAAGGTGTCATATGTCCCACAGCTCCAATACAATCCTGACCAAAGAAAAATATGAAAGAAGAGGCCCTAAAAAGTGTCATCTACTGTGTACCGAATGATGACATACCACGTGATAAAAGAATTTATCATACATCAAAGCTCTTTCTAATCTCAATCCATCACCATGAATGCAAATGTAGTAACAAATATACCAAAACACCAGTAAACACGATGTTATTTTAGATCATAAAACCATAAAATAGTTCTTATATGAATCATGCAACGTTACAGACACAATCATGCTTGAAAAGTTTTTTGAGTTAATTATTATAATGATTAGGTGTTGTCTTCTATAAAGTATTCTTACTAATCGTGTATTGGTTAAAAATACTATTTGATTAAATATTTAATATATGCAACTACTATAATAAATAAATAAATATAAAAAATAAAATGAAGAAAATCTTATTGTTAAGATCAAATTAAAAAATAAATTAATTTTTATATTAAGAATAGAAGGTAGTAATTAATTAGACAAATGTATACACGTGGAAGAGGCAAGAACACGTGTGGTCTGGGGTAGAAGCTAGCTGTATCCAGACTGCAGAACTTCCAGCAATCCCTGACCCTCTTGGGACTTGAACCCTCTTGCCTTCTCTTCTCTTCTCATTTCATTTCATTATCAAAATTCGGGCTTTCTGCCACGTCATCATATTGTCCACCTCAGCTTGCCATTTGTAAATCTGCTAACTAGCCAGTTTAAAAGCCCAGCCGCATAACAATTTTGAATTTTCAATATTTTTAAATAAAAAATTCAATTCCTAATTTCTTGAATTTATTTTATTTTTATATTTAAGTTATAACATAGTAAGTTTTTAAGTATAATTATTAGTCATTTTTATAAAATCCCTGATAAAAATATAAATGTCATATCCATCTTTTTTTATAAGCTGATGTATATGGTACTATTAAATAAATGATTTCTTTTAAAACTTTGTAAAATGTGAAATTTATATCTAATAAATTAAAAATAATATTCAGGCACAGCTAATAATTTGAAAAAAATATTTAAGCTCAGAGAGAATATTAAGTTTGATTTCACAAATTGCTGTTTCAAATAAAGTGTTGAGAATGCTAGCTGGAAACTTCAAAACAAACAAAGAGGAATCTATTTTTATTTTTTGTTAGGTATAGCTATCCTCTTATTTAAATGAATCATGTTTAAGGTATTATAGACATCATTTTTTATAGACATTGGAATATTCATTCATTGTGTCGTGAAGAATTAGTTCTTTCTACTGGATTTAGAAAGTGTTTGGCTATTAACAAAAATGCTTTCCAAAAACACATTTCTACAAATCAATATAAACTTATTCATATATTTATATTTTATACTATAAATCATTTTTAAAATTATGATTTGGTTTTTATCTAAATACCTCGTTAACTCATGACGATAATAGAAAAAAAACAAGAGGGAATTTAATTTGAGAGACGCGACACCGAAGGGCACTTTCGGCTGAGAGAGTCAGTGACTGTAAGTGCTCCACCGCGGTTTAGTGCGTCCCTATTAGACTTGATCCTCAGGCCTGTGGTGGGTCTCCCTCCATCTCCATTGAACCATTTTCTGGCGCCCAACACGAAAACCAAGGACCACACATCAGCACTTGTCCTTCTTTCCCTCACAATGAAATCCTTACCGTCACGCCCCACTTCCCTCTTTCTGAATTTCAAAGCATTCCTTTGTCTATTTTGCAGCTAGCTATTCTAGTGGTACCACAAAACTCCCACCTCAATTTGGCTCTCGCTGTGATTGAGGTGTTTCTCATCTTTATTCGATAGAAGACACTCATGTACTCATCAAACTCATAACTTCATGTTTAAGTAAGATTTAAAGAGGTGTTAAATATTAGTTAAGCTAAACAGCTTTGGAAACATGATGCGAATTACATTCCATGTTTATCCATTTTTGCATTTTTTACAAATTATTTTAGTAGTGGCATCACAAAACTCCCAACTAAATTTAGCTCTTGCGATGATTGATTATGCAATATATATTGTTATCGTTTACTTAAGAGAATGAACTCACGCATCCAACACATTTATGAAAGATCGAACACATAACCTCATATTTAAATGCTTAAGAAGGTGTTAAGTGTTAATTAAATCAAACAGCTCTAATGATTATACCAGAATATGATACATAATACGTCCGATAGTTTCTTTTTCTTTTTCATTTTTACAAATCAGTCTATTAAATCTTGGCTAATTTAAATTTAAGTTGGATCAATCTTCAAACGAAACATAATCTTTCAATATTATCTTCTATATTTACATGAATTTAAACATCAAATGTCTTGAGCGATTAACAAATCTTTTAACTGGGTAGTGGAATATATGCTTAACTGTTACAACTCAAACTAAGGAGTTTCTATTAAAGCAGACAAAAGTCATGATTACATAAAGATAATTGAGTCACTAACAAGAATTGAGTCACCAATAGAAGTTGGATCTAGTAAAAGAGACTGATCTCTAATAATGTAGTGAGCCAATATTTAAATCTTCACTAAAAGAAGTATCTATATTAAGTACCCAACAGTGTCTTGAACAGAATAATCTCTAATAAGATGATTAAAAAAAAAAAAGATAATTGAGTGATGGCTTCATGTCATTTAGTTCGATGCTTGATATACTTGGGATCAGAACAGATGAGCAATCCTTTTGAGATGAATTGTGCGCAGTCCATTACGTATGATACAAGACTTAAAGTTACTAGGATTGTTTTATTCGAGGAATCAGCCTATATGCCTAATGTTTATTCATCTCACCTAACCACCGAATGATGTGTGGATTTTGGACTATGTTCACTTTCCGCCGCCCCGTCGTTTTTAAAAGAATACGAATTCCAGGCTGTTTTGCATGATTGAGTTTGGGCAATATTTAGCGTTAGCCTCGCAGATTCCAAGATCCTATTGTCGCTTCTCTGGACAAAGCGACAAACAAGCATAAAACTATTATGGCTGTTCAACAACGGTCCCATCTCGATAGGACGGAGATTTTCATCTTGGTTCACAGAAATACAATCTTTGACCCTAATTTTAGCATCTCTCATATAATGGTTGATCAAGGAGATACAAGTCGAGAGCAGTTGAAATAAAAAGGCATGCTGGAAAATGCTTAGCAGAATGAAGCCAGTGAGAAAATGCGTAAGAAGCAATCAAGAAAATAAGGAAAAAGAAGGCGTTAGTCCAACAATTGGTGGTCATTGTTGAGACATATCACCAGAGCTTGGGTGGTCATTGATGACACTTCCAGAAGCGGCTAGAAAGATCATTTATCACACAAAAAAACACAAGACAGTGAGACACATTTCTTAAATTACAAAAAAGAATGCATGTTATGAAAAGTAAGAGTCAGTCCACAATAATATGGCCTCCTAGCAACCACAGACCCATCAGTTTTCCTAATGTTTTCTACATGCAACATGTTATCGACCAAAATAAAAATTTTAAAGGGGGAAAAAAGGGAAATGAAAAGAAGAAACACAGCTTGCTGAATTCCTGTTTCCCTTTTCTTGTGTCATTTCTTCAATTGCCAGGAACAATAACGAGACTAAGATCAAAGGTATGGTGAACAATTGCATTGGGATGTTTTATGTCTTCTTCATGATATACCCCATAATTAAGCCGAGTAAGCCGACTATGATGACAAACAGAATTGAGACGCCACCACGATTTCTGTTCCCTTCTTGCTTCAGCAACTCCTAAAATCATCAAAGTAAGTTAGATCTCCAGTCCAAGGTAATTTTTTCTTTAGACGACATCTTCCAGAATAGGCATAAAATAAGGTTGAACAATAATCCAAAGAGCAGAAAGAATACATTCCTAGGCCCTTACAAAGGATGCACAGCATGTTAATGTTTAGAAAAGAGAGCATGAGTTGTTAGATATCCACAATTTATTCTATATTTATATATTAAAAATGAGTTCCTCTGTGACTGTTTCTTCAACAGACAGTACATACCTCTTATTGTTCTGCATATCTAACAAATGGGAGTGAACAAGTGTATTTTCATCAAATTAACTTACTAAACAAATGGGAAGAATGAGTATCTAATAATTTAGATTCGCTTAGCTATGGCAAAAGGCAAAAAAGAACACTTTGATGGCACATACAACTACATTTGTGTCAAAATGTGTCCTATTTTTGATCAAAATCAAAATGCGACTTTAGCAAGCCAAAATGAAGGGAGAAGTCGAAGGGGAAAAAATGAAGAAAGAAAATTAGAAACAAGACGATCAAATCCAATTTAATTTGAAACAAATGCTTCTCAGTAAAATCTAACAACTAGGCTCAGTTATGGACTATGTTCAATCCTTATTGATCTCTTTGAATTATTTCGGGCCCTGTCATTCTGTCACGAGAGGGTAATATTTTAGAGTTATGCGAACTCATAATGAAAAGTTAGTATTCCTTCACACCCCCCCCCCCCCAAAAAAAAAAAAAAAAGATGTATAACTGGATGTTAGATCTTAGAAAACAAAGTATATTTTGTCAAATCCTCACCAATTCCTGACGAAGCTTGTGATTTAGTTGAACTACATTATTCTTTTCCTCAGTCAACCTTGAAATGAGGGCTTTTGCCTGCAACAAAAGCAATTATCACTAAAAATATAGTTGCTACAGAGTACAAGCTCGGAAAGTTAAGTGCCTGACACCCCTTTTTTAACATAATCCCACAATTGATAGGTCAGACAACACCCAATTTTAGCTCTTGACAACGTTAAATTGTCCTTCAGCTTTAATCAAGTGAAAAAGGGAGTCGTTAGACCCTTAGGTACTTCAGCCAAAATTACAAACGAAAATAAGCAAGAGGAATCACTCTGGAGGGAACCAAAAAAAAGTGGTTAGCAATAAACTTACGAAAACAAATACTGTAACAACACATTGCAATTATAAATGGAATTCAGAAAAGTTGATGTGTCCCAATTACTAGAAAACAAACGATGACTACATCCTAAAGCTATGTTAAACAACTGATTTAGAAACACCAAAAAGAAAGCCCTCAAAGCAGTAAGAAGATTGAACCTAACGCAAATTGACAAAATAGTAGCATCATCAAACAAGAAAGTTCAACTTTGTTTCGTATTTTTCCCTCTGAAAAAAACTAATTTGAAATTCATATACTAATGCCACCGTCAGACAAGTAAAGTGGTTGCCAGACAACCAACAAACACCAATAACTAATCATTTCTTCACCTCTGCAGATTTTTCTTGAGCATCAGATCGTTCAGTAAATGCTTTTGCTGCCTGCAGGACACAAAAATAATCCATTACTTCTAATGCTTTCACAGTGGAGAGATAAACCTAACCCTTAACAAGTTAAGAACTCACATTTGTGAAGTCAGCACCATTCACATTTCCATTTTCTGAAACAGAACCTCTCGGTGATGACCCTTCCTCTGAACCTTCTGGAACGGGAGATGGTGGTTGAGGTGGAGAAACATACAGCACTCTCAATTTGCATTCTTCAACTGCATTCCCTGCCTCCTTGCTAAACTACACAAACCCAATGACAAGTCATGTAAGTATACAAATATATATATATATATATATATATATATATTAAAACTCCATGGAAGTAGTATTAGCATCTAGCATGTTGTATAATCAATACCATTTCTGCAGTGATGTCCTTCGTGGTAGCACCATCATTCGCTTTTACACTTTGAAGAAGAAACTTATCCTTGCATTGCATATCAGGTGGGGCTTCTTTTTGTGCTTGCATGGTAACTTAAAATGACCAGATGTCAACCAATACTTATAGCAGATGAAGCACAAACACATAAAATAAATTTAAAAGGATTCGAATCGATACCTATAACATCACATGTAGATCGTGGCAAGACAATGCCAGTGTTGGGACGAACACAATACTTCTTCGGATTGGTGGTTTTCACCTGAGCATGATCAAATATGGACTCAAACATAAAAATTTTGCAAGAGGCTGCGTTTCATCACAAAAAAAAAAACCAACTGTGACGAAACCATTTTGTTCTGTGGACATTACGGAATAACCGAAAGAGCACTAATGTTATCTCGCCAATACTCAATATAGGGTTAATCCATCAGATCGTATTCCTCTGCCAGCTTCCATGAGGAACCAAAATTATAATTTAACCGTCCTCAACAGTACAGTAATCAATTTCTGGGATGAGCCATAGCAAATACCAAAATGAATCCATGAGATTACCTTGAAAGCAACATAGTTATCCGTCTTGTTCGACAATAGAAGAGAACATGAGATCTGCTTATTCAGCTCAACTAAAGAAAACGAACAAAACGCACAATTAAAATAGACGCACATATTATAATAAAGCCCTAGAAATGAGATCCAGCAGAAAATATAACTCACAAGGGAACTTGAGCTCGAGAGGTTCGACGCCAAGGAGCTCCCCACTGCTCATTTCGGAACAATGGCTTTCGATATTTGAATAGTGATCTGCTGAAGGGGACAAAAACACAAAAACCGTTTCGAGAAAAAAACAGTGGACACAGGCCGATCGAGATTTGCAGAATCTATGTTGTGCTTCGTTCGGGAAAAGCAAGAAGCACGGATAGATCGAGAGGATGGAATTTTCGGTGAAGGAAAATGGGGAAGTTGAGGAATTGGAATGAGATGACGATGACAGGATTTGATTTCTCCTTTTTCTTTTCTATTTTCGTTGTGGGGAAGAGAAGATTGTTGTATTTGCGTTTCGAATGTCCGTTTCAAGGAATAGAATAAAATTAAATTAATTTTTTCCCATAATAAACAGTACTGGGACGGCATATAACTCTTGGAGCAGTATTTTTATTTTTTATTCATTGAGTAATATGATCATATATAATTTAATACGCACATAAAATAAATTGAATACTACTATTAAATTACTTTGCATGGCTGTTTTTTAATGATACAGTTTTTGAAGTTTTGTTAATGTAAGTTGTATAAAATTAAATAACAACTAATCCTCTAGTCCTTAATATAAGATCTAATTATTAAGTTGATTTTGGTCTTAAATATAAGACATATTTCTCATATTTATCAATTTTCTCTAAATTACCTCTATAGATACTCCCTCAACCATAATCAAGTAGAAGAGGAAGAGTAAGTATTAAGAAAAATGATTATGGTATTTTAGAAAAAACATGTCGCATTTCTTATCATTAACTAATTCACCTAACTTCCTTAATCTAATCAAATTAGTGAAATGGGTCTTATATTAAGCACCGGAGAAGTATTATCATTTATAATTATTAAAAGGTACAATTCATTGTTAATATTATATTTTATATTGATTACTTGAGTTAAATGGGAGTACATTTTCTCAAATAATTGTTTATTTATAAAATTTGAAGTCATGATTATTTGATTATGAAGCATTCTTTACATTGGAAAAAAAAAGAGTTTATAAAAGAGAATAACTAAACCGAGGTGCTCCGAATTTGATTTAATTTGGTAAAAAAAATTAAAAAATTAAATTAATTGAATTAATTATTAACTTTTTATTAAAGTATAACAATTTTTTAATTTTACTTATATTTAATATATACATGTTTCAAAAGAGATGACTACTTACACTATAATAAATAAAGGATAAAATAGTATCAAAAATTTAATAAAGTAACTTATAAATAAGATAAAAAAACTTCTCTCTCTATCTTACAAATAAGATGAGAGAAGTACTATGTAACTGTCATTGATAATCCTATCAATTTTTTTATTAGAAAAAAATATAATCATATTATTTATTTATTTTTACAAGTTTGTGGAGATGAGTTGGCTAATAAATGAATGGACCACTAGCCATTCCATGCAGAGCGATCGCCATGTCCGTGGGTAGGTGGGTCTATAAAGAAGCTTTAAAAGTCGGGAAAATTTCACTGAAAGACCGCTGAAGGCAATTAATTTCCAATAGCCCTCAAAACAATCTGACAAGTCACTGCAGGACCATGGGGGTGAATTGATATTAATTTCAAAACTAAAAAGACAGTGTTGCCCCTCAAACTATTACTCTTAAATTTGAAGTCTTCTCTCTCTCTCTCTCAACTCCCGATATCTGAAGCCCCTCTCGCTCACTCTCTAAAAATTCTAGTTCATGCAGTGAAGGAGATCGTTCACCTCACTGTCGCTACTGTTGTGGTGAGGAAAGATTTTGCCATCGTCATTGCTCTGCTGCGGAGAGCCTTCGTTGTCGCCCTTGCTCTAGCAACGAGAGCCTCCATCACCGCTCCTGCAAGTGTTGGACGAGAGCCTTTTGTGTAGATATGAAGCTGGTTAAACTAGAAAAGCTTGCAGGAACGCAAACTCTACATGAATTTATTGCTGAATACAGTTTGTTTTTATTTTAATAAACAGCTATTTTTGTGTACATATGAACCTCAATATGTATTTTTGAAATGGTTCACGAAGTGGTTATGACAATCCGTGAGTTGAAATCTATTTTGTATGGCTATGAATAGATGGAGAATTTCATGATGGTACTTAGAGGTAAACTGCCTTAAGTACTGAACTGAAACTAGCTAGCAACTATATAAATGTGTGAACAAATTAATCGACTTGTAAATGGACGTATTTTTATTGTTAATGCATGTATTCTTATTGCAAAGTTCCTAATTCCACTTGTAAACAGTCACTTCCAGATTTGTGAATTGACGTGTTTAATTTTTTAAATGAAATAAATCTACTTGCAAAAGGACGTATTTCTATTGTTAACGAGTGTATCCGTGTTGCAAATTTCCTAATTTCACTTGTGAACCCTCACTCCTAGGCTTGTGATAAACTTTTTCAATTGAACCAGCTCACTTGCAAATGGATGTGTTATTCTTATTAATATACAAATCCTATTTGCAAATTTTCTAATTTTAGTTGTAAATGATCCCTCCCAGACTTGTGAATAATTATATTCAACTTATTGAATTCAACTAGCTCACTTGTAAATGGACAAATTCTTGCTGTTAATATACTTATCCTTCTTGCAAATTGTTTGACTCTAGTTGCAAATAGTCCCTCCCAAACATGAATTATCATGTCCAACTTCTAGAATTCAACTAGATCACTTGCAAATAGACGGGTTATTGTTGTTAATATGCATATTCATATTGCAAATTACCTAATTCCACTTGTGATTAGTGCTCCTCAGACTTGTGAATAATCATGTATGACTTTTTTAGTTATATTAGTCCATTTGTAAATGGACAAGTTTCTCTTGTGAATCAATGTATCTTTATTGCAAATTTCCTAATTCTAATTGCCAATATGACAACCAAATACCTATGACATCAAAGTGTTAATCAACATATTCTTATTGTAAATTTTCTAATTCGAGTTGTCAATATTACATCACATACTTGTAAGTTAGTGGGGAAAGACAACAAATTGTAATTAATTGACATGCAACCTACTCATAGTATATTCCCTAAAACAAAAATCGTGCAAATTCTCCATACACAAATTTTAACACATTCTGTCATTGTTTTGTTTTTTATTGTCTTTATCCGTTGAAGTAGTTTGCAATAGCAACTGATTGTGTATTTCTTTTGGAGTAATGAGTCACCACAACTCAGACTTTAGTGAAGTGTATTATTCTTGTGACACAACAATAAGTACTGTCAATAGATTAACACAAGCGCATCAATGCAAACTCAAAATAATGAATGAACTCATGAGTAATAGAAAATGACTATCACACAAGGGATATTGTGACTAGTGCTTCCTAGGCAATTTGCAAGAAGGATAAGTATATTAACAGCAAGAATTTGTCCATTTACAAGTGAGCTAGTTGAATTCAATAAGTTGAATATAATTATTCACAAGTCTGGGAGGGATCATTTACAACTAAAATTAGAAAATTTGCAAATAGGATTTGTATATTAATAAGAATAACACATCCATTTGCAAGTGAGCTGGTTCAATTGAAAAAGTTTATCACAAGCCTAGGAGTGAGGGTTCACAAGTGAAATTAGGAAATTTGTAACACGGATACACTCGTTAACAATATAAATACGTCCTTTTGCAAGTAGATTTATTTCATTTAAAAAGTTAAACACGTCAATTCACAAATCTGGAAGTGACTGTTTACAAGTGGAATTAGGAACTTTGCAATAAGAATACATGCATTAACAATAAAAATACGTCCATTTGCAAGTCGATTAATTTGTTCACACATTTATATAGTTGCTAGCTAGTTTCAGTTCAGTACTTAGGGCAGTTTACCTCTAAGTACCATCATGAAATTCTCCATGTATTCATAGTCATACAAAATAGATTTCAACTCACGGATTGTCATAACCACTTCGTGAACCATTCCAAAAATACATATTGAGGTTCATATGTACACAAAAATAGCTGTTTATTAAAATAAAAACAAACTGTATTCAGCAATAAATTCATGTAGAGTTCGCGTTTCTGCAAGCTTTTCTAGTTTAACCAGCTTCATATCTACACAAAAGGCTCTCGTCCAACACTTGCAGGAGCGGTGATGGAGGCTCTCGTTGCTAGAGCAAGGGCGACAACGAAGGCTCTCCGCAGCAGAACAATGACGATGGCAAAATCTTTCCTCACCACAACAGTAGCGACAGTGAGGTGAACGATCTCCTTCACTGCATGAACTAGAATTTTTAGAGAGTGAGCGAGAGGGGCTTCAGATATCGAGAGTTGAGAGAGAGAGAGAGAAGACTTCAAATTTCAGAGTAATAGTTTGAGGGGCAACACTGTCTTTTTAGTTTTGAAATTAATATCAATTCACCCCCATGGTCCTGCAGTAACTTGTCATATTGTTTTGGGGGCTATTGGAAATTAATTGCCTTCAGCGGTCCTTCAGTGAAATTTTCCCTTAAAAGTCTCCCTCATCTAATCATGCATATTAAAAAAACTCAGCCAAATTAAAAATGGCAAAAACTAAAACTCGTGGGTTTTTTTAATAAAACTTTTCCACATTTTATACTTGAAGATAGAATACAAAATAACTATATTATCAAAAAGAATAATACAAAATAACAACTATTTTTTTTTAAAAATAACTCCATCTGAATGTAAAAGTAAATTAAGGGATTGAAAAATTAGTTGGGTTTGTTATTTGTTATTATTAATTAAAAAATGTGGGTCACTTTTTCTAAAATAACCTCTCTCTTTTTTGCCACCTTCCAACAATATCCCCAAAGAAAAAATTATACGAGAGAGGCAAAGAAATTCAAGATCCTATATTTGAGATAAAATTTTAGAAAACTTTTTAGTAATTTAACTTTCAATAAATTTTATAGTAGTAGTATTTAGGATTGGAGCTGGGGCATAATTCGTATCATGAAATATGGGATGGTAAGTATTCCATTTATCTATGTATTAGCTAATCTAATTATCTAATTAATCATTAATTAATCAAATAATAATGACAACTTGTCGGTTGCGGCGCCTAAGTCATTTATGAGGCCGCCAACCCACACCCCTGAAAGCGACAACTAAATTTGAATAATTAATTTTTTTCCCGTAAAAGAAAATGTAAATTGGATGCCAACTCCCTCATCATCGCTGTGACTTTTCACACCGAGCCTGATCCTTGAAGCCCTTGAAAGTTGAAAGATTTCGACATGCTTTGAAATTTAAGAATTAAATATTGTTTTTTCCATTTATATATTAAAAAAAAGGAGAAATTTTTTTAAAAAATGACTGTTAAATTTCAAAATCTTAAATACAAAAATATGTTATTGTTTGCTTTTCAAATGCAGGCGTTTCTTTACGAATATAATAACCAATACTTATTGGAAATTTTAAAATTCAACAATTATTTTTTTAAAATTTTTCCCCAAAAAAATGTTTCCATTTGCATATTATCATTGTCGTCTACTAGTCGAAAAGAGGCATCATGAGAATATCCACTAGAATAAACTTTCCCTATCTGGTCATTTTCCATGCCAATTTACTTTTTTCATCAAACCACTTAAGGAATGTTTAGTAACCCTAGAAACACTTTTTAAAAGTAGTTTTTTATAAATCAAAACAAATTTCTCCATATGTTTATTTTATATACCACAAAAATATTTCTGAAATCATGATTTTGTTCTTATCCAAACGTTTTTTTAGTATTATAACCACATTAAATTCCAACTAATCAGAATTAATTTGGACCAACAATAAATAAAAATAGCTTTCCCAAAGGTCCTAAATCATCATGCTCAAATAAAGCCTGGCCCTTTCCATGAGGCCCCACTCTTCCTAGTCAAGCCTATTACCATTATAGCTAGTTTTACAATAATGGTCTTGCAATAATCCATAAGACTTTCCTTATTTCATTGACGCCTGACTAGTTAATAGTTATCCATCAGAGTCCCATGACAAATGCATGACTGCAATATTTAATGAGAAACTAATATAGGTCAAAAAAGTCTGAAAAATGAACCATAAAATTTATTACTCATAAACAGGGCGGTTTATTAGAAGAGTGATATTATATATAGAACCCTACTATTTATGACTCATGAATAGTGGCTTATTAGAGTTGTGGTATTATATATACAAACAGAGATCAGTTGTTCTTCCTTATCCAGACCTCCAAGTTGAAAATAGTCCGAAGATTGAAAAGGGAACTTTTTCAACATCACGTAGGCCACTGGAATTTATATGCATACTGTACATAACATCAAGCAGTGTTCTTGATTAAGATGAATACGATGATGGGATTATCAGAAGCCAATGAAAGCAAATGGATTATTATACAATGTGTAAGTTTCGAGAGGCTACTGGAAGAAGGAAGTCTTATTCCCAAAGGTGTTCTCGCCACTGTATGTAACATAAAGGAAGCCATCCTCATCCTTCTTCTCCTCATATATTGCAGACATAATGGCACCTGCAAAATTGAGCAACAAAACAATTTGATTATCCATCAATATAGAATATAAAAAATTACCTGAAGCTACATTGGTCACAAAATCTGAACAGTCCATCCCATTTGATGAAAAAATTATACAGCTATATGGTTTAACAAAGATTGACCTGTAGGTGGAAGGACATTGTCCACAAATATGAAGATAGCCTTTTCTGCACTTAATTTAATCCTTTTGCGGATAACATACACAAACTGTCCCACCGTCAAGTCAGCAGGGACAAGGTACCTGCAATTTGTTCATTCAGTTTGATGCCATAAAAGAAGCAGCAGGTATCCTAAAATCAAGCATCAGAAGAATCAAATGCAAATAATTTTTTTTAAAAAAATCATCAAATATTCTTCCAGACCTCTAAAATTAATATAAGCGCCAATTTGCTTTGCCTTAATGAGACTAAACTGTCTCCTGAACTCAAGAATTTAAATTTTGAGGATCGACCCAAGCCAAATTAATCATACAAGAAAAACATCTACATAGAGTATATACGCAGCAGAATCAAAGTAATCGGGATTCATCAAGAAAAAGGGAAATGACATAAAGAGTTTAAGCTCTTCATTGTCTGATTGCATCTCAAGGTACATATAAAATATTATTCATTACGATTTCAAGATGTTCATGCCAATCTAAACATGATCAGATGGTTAAGAGCTTAAACTCTCCATAGTCGAGCACCAGGAAAAATCAGAATCACGTATCGACATCAGAAAATCATTCAATTATTTTTAAAAATCTAGCATGCCAAATTCAAAACACATTTTTATTTCTATGGTGCTACACACTTAAGATATTATTATCACATCATTTGAGCCAAAGAAGAGAGAAGTGGCTGAGGATCCATAAGTATTGCAATAACACGACTAGAAGTATATTATAGATTTAACAGGAATAATGTCAAATTCACTATAATATTTTCCTTTTAATCTGGAATTCACAAAGGCCAAGAGCATACCAGCATGGGAAAAGAAATAATTAAAGTGACAACCTACATATTAGACGAAAAGAAGAGACATAGTCTTACTTCTTCTTGTCAATACTGGGGATGTCACTCCTTTCTGCCTTCTCTACAATCACCTTCAGGCATATCCGGAGACAAGTTAGCACAAAAATATAGTGTCAGTGACATATATCGCAAGAATAACAAGAGCCACAAATGATTTTTTTTCCCCCCTTATAAAGATGATTCAGCAAATAGATATAAATATTAGTTATAAGGAAAGAACATGCTCATTATAATTATAATTTTTCTTTAAAAAGAAAAAGTTACACTTTACAGACCACTTCGATCAAGAAATACTATGTTAAGATAGAAAGATAGCATCCATAAATGGGAATGTATGCCTATCTGTAAGTAAGAATATTAAGAAGGGGATTGGGGAACACTTTGACAATAGCAATCATGAATGAAGAGATGCTTTTATATTTACCACGAGACTAAGAATAGAAAATATACAGTTAAGTTAATTTCTGACAGAATATAGTAAACAATGGACAATGATATACTATCTCTTATCTTTAATATAAGAGCTAGTTGACCAATTTGAATAGATTAAAAAAATTAATTTAGTTAGTTATTTGTAATAAATAAGTGTTGGTTTCTTTAAAATATCCTCGCTCTAAGTATGTGTATTAACTAGAACTACCATTTAATGAAAACTTTAACATGTGCAACTACTATAAGAACTACTGTAAGAAAAAATTGGATAAATATAAGAGACAAAATAGATTGGGGTCTTATATTTAAGATTAAATTGAATGTCTAACTAGTTCTTATATTAACGACCGAAGGTAGTATCATGAAGTTCAAATATGCAGCGTCCTCCATGCATTGTTCGCTGTCAACTGAGTTTCTCTCCATCAAAGAATGTTATACTTGATCTTTAATGAAGAATCGAGGATCACGAATCCTAAATACAAAACTACACATCCAATCCAAGTCCAAGAAAAAAGGTCAAGTGCTGTGGAATCCTGACGTGACAAAGAAAATAGATAAAAGGCAATTCACAAACAGATGAATAGATTTGGAGACAACATGCAAGCTTTAAACGCAAATTTGAGCTCATCCAAATCTATGCTTCCATTGTTGCATAAATCCCCAATACGATAAAAATTGTGCCACGCAAATTTCGTATCAAAAGCCATATATTGTTGACTCCTCGGTTGGTGAGAGATAAAAAATAACTAAGCTTCTGCCACAATCACAATTTCGATCACAGATGACACTAGCAGCAGATAATTGAAAATGAAAAATGAGTACTAGTTCTCACTGGGATCCTGTCCGGGTATTTTTCTCTAATCCTAGCAGCCTCAGTTCTTCTCTTCTCTGCCGAATAAAAAGAGAAATAATTTATTCGCATATTGCTCAGCTTAGCAATCAGAAAAACCAAAGGAAGAACAAGAAGATTTCAAAGTATATACCAAGATCATGCTCTTGTTTGAAGTAACTCCTAGCCATTCCTCCTGAAAGGCAACAAAATTCAGTCAATTCCAAGCATAAATATAATCTTCATCTTCATTGTCTGATAAAGGTCGTGTACTTAAGAAAGTCCTCTATCACTCATAAGGGGCAAAAAAAAAAAAAAAGGGGGCCCGACCTTTTAAGGATAAAAATGAAAATAAAAAGCACACTAATGTGCAGTCGCAAGGGGTATAAACAAACGATTGATTACTAAATTTTCTTAACACGATCCAGATAAAAAAAACAATCGTAATTAAACACAAACAAGAAAAAGATGACACTTAAGTTTTAATTAAACACAAACAAGAAAAAGATGACACTAAGTTTTAACACAACGACAGAAGAAATCAAAGCCTAATGTTCATCGTAGTAAAAAGAGGGCCCGAAGTGCTTTCAACAGAATCGTCATCTCTCGAATTGAAGATAAGATTCGAAACCAACAAACATTCAGGTAAAGAAGGAAACCTCAAAGGGACTGGGATTTTACAGAGGATTTTCTCTCGACCAGCCGAGAAAGATAGGAGGGCTACGATGAAAAAGAAATGAAAGAACCAACGAAAACCAAGCCTTTGAGAAATTAATAAACTAATAACACGATGAACACAACCTCGTGAAGACGATCCAATAGACAAGCAGCGCTTTTGATCAATGACTCCAGGAAATCCGTGCTTTGCTTGATGATAGAAAATATGACTGCTTGCTTTTTCAACTACTTCAAAAGGTTCCGTTTTAGGCTCACACTTCCGTTATTTTTTTATTTTTTTTAGGTCTAAGCTCATATTTTATTATTTTTTAATTCTTGATAATTGAATAATTTTGAAATAATTAATACTAATAAAATATTAGACTCAAACTTACGACAAGTGTTCACAATCACAAGTCGACTGGCCCAAGAATAGAAAAAATTTGACTTGTTTAATGTGAAGATGATGATAAAATTTACTGGCAAGATTTAGAGAAAACTGATGTACTTAGCCTTGTGTATCTAATACCATTCCCACTTCGGTCATAATTATAAGACCTTATTTGTAGATAAATGAGATCTTATAATTAGAATTGGAGGTAATATTTTTTTGGGATAATTAATCTCCAGGTTCTTATAGTTTCATCTGATTTTTAATTAGGTCCTTATAAAATTTTTTCTTTTTATCAGATCCTTTTACTTTCATGTGTTTTTAATCAGGTCCTTCTATTTTTTTTTCTTTTTATCAGGTCCTTATAGTTTCACTTATTTTTTAATTAGGTGCTTTGTAATTTTTTTAAAAAATTATTTATTAACTTTATTCTTTAAAATTAATTTCATTTTTAAATTAATAATTATATAATTGGACAAAATAATTAATATAATCATTTAGTAATTAATAAATAATCAGAATAATAATTATACTTAAATATAAATATTTATAATCATATTTTAATTTTAGAAAAATTTATTATTATAATTTGAATTTTATAATTATAAAAATTCGAATTGAAAATAAATAATATATTTGTTTAACTAAAAATTTAAAAGAATATTAACATAAGATTGTTACAATAATTTATTATTTTTAAAATGTTATTATTTGTAAAGTAAAGAATAAAAACTACAAGAATCTAATTAAAAACAAAGTAAAACAATAAGGACTTGATAAAAAGAAAAAAAAATTATAAGGACTTGATTAAAAATACATGAAAGTATAAGGACCTGATAAAAAGAAAAAAAATTATAGGGACCTAATTAAAAACCAGTTGAAACTATAAAGACTTATATATTAATTATCCCTATTTTTTTTCTAATCAAATCAAAATAGGAAGATTTTAAAATGTTAATAATATTAATGGCAAAAAAATGTTAATAATATTACTAATAAGGATTTGTTATAAAATAAATAATATATAAAATTTCACATTTCTTGGTGCCTCTGTGGGAGTCCGATGAAAAATTAATTATCTATCAAAACATTAGTTTTGGTTTTTCTTTTTTATTGAGTGAATTAGTTTTGGTTTATTTGATTGGGAACAAACACTTTAAATATATAATATTAAGAATATAAGCTTTTTGTGATCTATATATTATATGATTCCAGTAAATAGTAATGCAACTGCCATTCAGCTGCTAAAATATTCCACTTATTTAAACTCATACGCACCTCACAAAAAAATAAGGCAAAATGACCAGAAAATGACTGTTCAAATTTAAAATAACAAAAAAAGTATACAAATAACTGAAATCACCAAATGGGCCTGAGATATGAATATGAGATTTTCAAATTTTGGTTAAAGACTAAAATGCCTTCAATTTTTTCAGGAAAAAACAAAGTGTGCATAATCGAATAGTCTTCAACGGAACTGCAACCCAAGTTTCTAGGTCTCCACTAACTGAAACTGCGAAGCTAGGGTTCTCCTAAGTCTCACATTGTCATTGTTGAGGATACTATCAGTGAGGAATGTGCATAGTGTCTGTGAGAAGCTTAATCACAAAAAGTGGGGTCACAGTAAAAACCAATAAACTAGTGAGAGGCTTCAATCTTCTTCTTTTCCGCAAAGCATTTCCAATTGCTCCTTTAAATTTTGATCGTCGCAATTATGGGTACCTCAAATTCTAAGATTCCGAGTAGGTTTGAGAGTTCATTACGTGATTATTGTATGCTCTGCTCTATGTATTGCTCGTTATTACTGTTCGCATTCTTTGTAAAGCTTGATTATCGTTTGCATTTTTCTATCCTATAATTCATCTCTTTGAAGTTCGCATGGTTTTTTTTTTTTTATTGTATCCTCTCACTTTGGCTCTTCTATAGTTTAATACTTATGCTTGAATGCATTAATATGCAACTCTACTATAGAAATATCGACTATGTTATGTTGAAAATTTGGGGAGTAAAATTGCCCTTTAATAGTCACATTTTCCCTTCCGCTCTTCATTTTCCCTCTACATGTTGAACGTAGACAGCCAAACCACAAAACCTCCAGTGTCCCTCTCCATGCTGAACATTGGTAACCAAATTAAAGGAGGTGCTAATTGAAAAGAGAAAATAACATATCTAATACCCTGTATCCTTTCTAATTAGAAAAAAATCATGTGATCTATTCTACTATCACGTGAGTTTTTGCATTTTGGTTAGTCATCCTCAACTATCAGGTGAGGTCAATGAAGTGGTGAGAAGCGTCAATCGTATTGCTGTCATGGAGGAGGTCGGTGAAGTAACTCTGACTGCAACAAATAGTAATATCCAGTTGTAGTAGCAATTGAGTGGTTGAGTTTTGATAGCTTGCTAGTATTAGTATTCATTTGGGATGGATTTTGATCAATTTAAAGTGCCATTCATAGCAAAATCAAAACCTTCGCAATATCATTGTAACAATTTAACTTTGGATTTTGATTCTTTAAATTGTACTATAGCAATTATGCAAGAGCAAATATTAGATTACGTCCAAGGATAATATATTAGATTGTTTGTAGTTAGTTCTTAAAGTGTATTATATTGTTAGTCTCTATTTTTTGCTCTATTTTGATAATTCAGAAAGAAATAATAACTTTCATTATGTGATCAGTAAATTTGGTTATCTGAGTAGTAAATAGTCGAGGTTAGTTTTGTGGTTAAATGACAATAGTTAGGATGTGAATGACTATATTTGCATTGATAATGACAACTTTTTTGAAAGGCAAAAAAAGTTGAAATGTTAAACTAACCAGATTTAGTTATTCATTGTGTACCATAATTGTTAAACTGAACATTTTGCATCTTGTTTTCATTAGCAAGCATCCTATGTATTTGTTGTAACCATATGCTTGTTGTAGAAGAAGAGCCAAGTGAAGAAGTGAAGAATGGGTACATGTTTAAAAAATAATTTCTTAAGGCGAGGAGGAAGTTTAAGAATATGTTCAAACAAGTGACAAAGGCATCAAAGGCATGGAAGCAGCTGATACTAGAGGAGTAGAAGAAATATAATGATAAGGTTGAGCAATCAAGAAAGGAAGGGATGAAGAAGAAGAGGAAGAAAAAAGTTGCTTTTAGCACTGTTGCTCAATTCAACAATTTCAGTCATTAGTGGACTTTATAAATAATGATGAAAGTTTGAAAGTCAAGGTAAAAATTTAGGATTCTCCAATTTGCTTCACATTGGATGTGAGAGACTCCCTCATGATCTCATAATATGTATGCTTCGATCATATGATCTGCCTACCCATCAATTTATAATAAGAGGGAAAATAAAGGAAATAGAAGCAAAAGATGTTACAAACTTGCTGGGTGTACCCTACACAGGAGAGAAGGTAAAAATAGACATATGTAATGATGATGAAACTTACCAGAGGTTGAAGAAGGAATCTGGTAAAGTCTCTTATACCAAGATACTCAATGACATTGAGTAGAAGAAAGATGACTTTGAGTTCTTGTTTATGTTGTACATACATAGAAGTTTTTTAACTCCTACTTCGCAAATAACTGTGAGTGACAAGCTAATAAGAGTCATGTGTTGTACTATGAAGGGATTTCACCAATTTGATTGGGCCACGTATATTGTCAACCACTTGTGGAAAGAGATGAGAGATTATGTGAAAATATATGCAAAAGCAAAGGAAGATGAAGATGAAGATGAGGGAAGTTGTAATGTGGGCGGATGCATCTATCTCTTGTTGGTATGCATTTGTTACCTATGCTTTTTATTTATTGTTTTCTTTATTTGAGGAATTAGGAAGTTAATTATTTACTGTTGCAGTTATATTTTGCTGAGCATTTTCCACTGATGAAATCTGTTAAATGATGGTCCATAAATGCTATTCAATTATGGACTGATCAGAGGATAAGGAAGCTTAAAAAGAAAGAGAGGGAAAGCATCAGGGGTTTATTACACAAGGGGAAGGGAACTACGAATAGAAATGAGAAGGATGAAAGAAAACATAAAAGTGTGGCTCATTTATAGCTGGTTTGTGTTTCTTTAGTAATTTTCATTCACATTAGCAAATAATGTCATGAAAAAAGTGTCTACTCATTTTGAATAATTTCATGCAGGAGTTGCAGAACTTGCATGGACGATTGATGGCTTTGATCGAATTAAGCAAACAAAAGGCTTATCATGCAATAGAAGATGAGCTACCTAAGGTGCAGATAAAGATAGAGAAAAACAATTTTATCAGAGATGATTAGCCTATTAAAGACCGAGATGAGGAGCCTATTGAAGTCTGATATGACGATAAGGGAGATTATAATGCATTTGGTGATAAAGACCCTAATGATCATGATGGACATGAGTCTGATCAGCAAGATGATGATGGAGATGGGTCAGATCAGGAAGATGATGATAGACATGACTCAAATGAGGGTGATGATAAGGGAGATGATGATGGAGATGACTCAGATAAGGGTAAAGAGATAGGTGTTGAAGTAGAAGGAGTAGAAAAAGGAAATATGGATTCTCCCCTGCCCCTTTCCCCTATGGACAGGGGATTTCAACTCAGGAGATCACGAAGAAAGATGAAATCGGCTATAAATTCTCTATGGCTTTTGACAAAGCCAATTAAGAGGAGAAAGAGGACCGTGGATGACAAGGACCGGTTTTTTGACATAATTTCCCGCATGTGTTCAAGTAAGGAGGGTAACAAGTAAGTACATATTCACTACTCACATAATGATATTCATTACAGTTTTGTACTAATTGACTACATGCATAATGATATTAACAACATATTTTTAGGCCTTTGGTTAAAATCTCTGATGAAGAT